ATACTACACTTATACACTTATTATTAATAAAACATTATTAGTCCATTGGCATACAGTGAGATACTGTCAATAGTCAGTTACTACATTAGAACAATATCACAGACTGTTAATAGTAACAGCATTCATACACTCAGACAAATTAGAAATGACTTTTTATCACATGTACATGTTTCTATCACGTGTGGAAATTCAAAAAGGGCACAGCAGCAGTAAGCAGCAGTATAGTACATGTGCACAGGAGGAGTATAGTACGTAATTATTACCAAGTAAGTGTCAGGACAACACTCACTATATGAAACCTTTCATGCAGCTTTGTTTGATGATCTATTGCTTTCTTTCTATTCTTGGGCCAGTATCTTAATATCTAGTAAAATGCACATTAAAGAGCTCTTTAGTGACTAGTTTGGTTAGTTTACTTAGTTACTTTTTTCTCCTTTTTTGTCTTCATGCTATTGTTTATGCTATTGATTTTTGTTATTGATGTTTAGGGTGAAAATTGGTGTCTTAATTTTTATTTCCTTACAGTATACTTAAGGTAATTAAGGATGCTTATAGCAGACAAGTCCTCCAACCATTATTAGGTGCCTGTGCTCACAGTTATACATGTACCTGATGCTATAGATCAGTATTCATTAGTAAACCCTTTCACTATGATTGATCTATTGCTTATACAGACTAGGCCACAAATCTTAATAATATCCAGCAATCTAATCATGGAGTGTATAATCATCAAATGAATATTGAAAAGCTCCTTCCAATAATTAAGACTGTCACATGTTATTAGAACTTATAAAGTTACCTCAGTTTCCCACAGATTGAAGTGAACATGGACATAATTACTGTGAATACACATGTCATACATTATTGGGTGAATGAGTCACTGGCTAAGAGTAATGGAGGTGTAAGTCTGGCACTGCTAATAATCACGTACTCCATTGGCAGTCTCACAGACTGTTAATAGTAACCACAGGCATACGAACTTGAACATGTTTCTATCACATGTACATGTTTCTGTCACGTGTACACATTCAAACAAAGCCACCATTGTCCTCACTAGGCCAGTATCTATATAAGTAGCTGAAGGATATCAGTATATCATCAGTACATCATAAAGAGATAAAGAAAGATACTACTACTATCAAACTGAAGATGACTTCATTCCAGCGTATGGTCCTTGTTGCAGCTGTACTCTTCATGATTACTGCTCATGTAGCTGATGCTCATAATGTTAATTGCGCTTGTTTCTTTGGTTATCACTGTAGTGATCATTATCATGTGATACCAAACATCGTAAGTTAAACTAATCTACAAATACATGTATGATGTATTTCTATAGCCTGGACAAGAATGCTGTAAGATGGGGTTTAGATCTTATAAATGCAAAGTTCAAGGAGAAAACACATACCGACATTGTCACGACTGCTAAAGAAGAAACAATAAACTGATACTAATAATAATAATAATAATAACAACAAATATACATTATAACTTTAATATACATGTAATTATATGTACATAATGTTTCTTTATAAATTATTATTATTATTATTATTATTATTAATTATAAATCATTATTATAATATGGTGTGCTGTACTAAGGTACATGTACATTGTACATACCACTGCTGTACTACTACTTTGTATATTGTACTATTTATAAACGTGCTTTGCCCCATCTCTGCCTTCTCTTAATGGACACTCTCTATAGCGTACACCTCCATTTAACGGACAGCACCTAATATACCAATTACATTCCTTACTGTATAAAACAACCTCCACGTAAAGGACACCTCTGTATAACAGAGGCACTTTCTTGACCCAAAGTGTCCATTATATAGAGGCTAGTCTCTAACTAAGACAGGATTGGAGACAAGTTATACATGTACATGTATATACCATCTCTCTCTCTCTGATCTCTTTTTCCATTATTACTCGTACAACTAATTACAATACTTAATTAAATAACAATAAGCTTGAAATCTCTATAGGATCTCCTAATTGATTGTAAAATTCCAATTAAAGATTGATTTAAGAGCTTTACAAACATCACCTAACCCCAGAGGAGACCAGAATGAGTACAACTTACAACTAAACAACTTAGAATAACCTATGATGTGCATGCATTACATAATCAGTGAGTATCAGCAAGTTTACTACAGTACATCAATATTGTATACATACATGTACATTGTACTGAATAATATAGAATATTAAGATATTGTGTAATTTTTAGATTCTTTTATACAGTAAGGAATGTAATTGGTACACTAGTAGTCTACTGTAATGTAATATACAGTAGAAATGACCTTGGCACATTTCTATGACACAAGTACATGTTTCTGTCACATGTACACATTCACCATGTTCTTACTAGGCCAGTATCTACATGTACATGAATGACTCATAAAGTAAAGGAAGTGTAATAGTGATACTGTCAACAGTCAATGGTTTAATTTATGTCTTAATAAAAATGTGTTGGTAGAATCTTTAAGCATTCATG